CAGATTGTTCATTCAGATTTGATTTACCCAGACTTGACTAAAGCATGAGTTCTTAAAAAAATTCCTCAGGTTCGCAGAGTCTAATAATTCTAGATGGGGGAGACATCTATCTTGAAGATGTAAGGTGGATTCTTATAAACATATCCCTGACAAAAATTAAAATATTCACACAGTCCAGGCTAGAATCAAGCTACAATAACAAACTTAACCAAACCATGAGTTCTAAAAAAAAATTCCACGGGTTCGTAGAGTCCAATTGTTTCATTCCTCAGAATTCTAAATGGAATAACATTCTAAAATCGGAATTCTAAAAATTCTAATAGAATAACATTCTAAAGTCAGAATTCTAAAAATCATCTACTCTGAGGAGATAAAGTGGATTCTTATATACACACCCCTGACATACAGTCAGTCCCATAACTATTCATACCTTCTATGCCTATTGAAAAAATTTGTCTAAATTAATTAATACCCTCTATATCTCCAAATAAATGTTTCATTATAACTATATACATAAATAAACTTTACACTTGTATATATTTATAATGAAACATTTATTTGGAGCCATCAAACCTATCATTTAATTGAGAAGAATTCTTGTAATAGACACAGAATAGAAGGTACGAAAATTTATGGAACTCATTATACATATACAGGGTGTTCAAAAAAAAGCGTTCAATTTTTATATGGTGTATAGGGCACACTGTACTGAGTAAAAAAGCTTCAGTAAACATAGGTCCAAAGGTCAAGCGTTTCTGAGATATAAACATTTTTGTTTGCTAGTATCATGATTGACTTACTACTGGGTTTTCGATATTAATAGATTTTCCACGTGTCCACCGCTCATTTCTGTACACGAAATTGAAAAAATGAAATTGACGAAATTGTCGGCACTTGAATGGGAACATTCAGAACCCAATTTATAAACACTGATATAAACATCGCATGCGATGGAAGCAAGTAAGTCAATCATGATACTAGCAAACAAAAATGTTTATATCTCAGAAACGGTTGACCTTTGGACCTATGTTTAATAAAGCTTTTTTACTCAGTACAGTGTGCCCTATACACCATACAAATATTGAATGCTTTTTTTTGAACACCCTGTATATAAAAATATTCACCCAATCCAATCTAGAATCCATTTTCCTCACACCTCTTCAAATAATTATCAATACCAAACTCACTCAAAACCCAAGTTCTTCCAAAAATTCCTCACATTCACCTACTAATTCAACTACTAATAACCAATTACCAAAATAAAAGGTGCCACTTCCCACCACCACAGTCGCCAAGAACCAACTCCCATCCGCCTAATAAAGCATCCATCGTTTTCACCAGACGCACCTTCAATCGCTCGTAATTAATAGCTCGGCCCCGTTTCGCGACGCACCAACCCCGGGGTCACGAAACTGCCCTATTATCGTCGTACCGGAAGGGTTACGCTCTCGAAAATGCCGCGCTCACGGACGACTCTACGCTCGAGTGTGCGGGTTCGAGTTCAGTGGCGTTGGATTAGCTTCCAGCTAGTTATGATTAGAGGAGACAGTTGGCCCTCCACCGAACTACTCCATATTCCAATACTCATCGGCCGGTCGCGTCAGTCTTTCGGAGAGAAGGAAGGGGGTGGCGATAATACACACTGACAGGCGCGCACCCCTCGACAGCACGGTCGCTTTGGGGTGCTCCCGGTGAAAGGAAGGGTGCCGCAGGAGAGAAGAAAAACATATACAACAACCCGATAGAATGAGCATCGCATGCGCCTCGACGCTTGTTCTTCCCCTCCTCTCTGGCCTGTGCGCGCAGAATTACCCACTGATGTTATAATCCTCTCGTGTTACGCCGTCGCACATGCTGTCCTGTAAGCAATACATTGTTGTTTCTTTTTTTTGTCTCTCTTCGGGTCTCTTTCTCGCTACGGGGCCCTTTATGACGCCAGATCTATCGGTACCCATATGCACACTTGGCTGTCGCGAACGAGACGCCGGGCGTTGTATCTGTCGCGGATGGATCATCTCTGCCCTCGGAGCTGGAAACGCGAGTCAAGTCTTTGTTACGTCGAGGGTCACGCGAAATTGACGAACGATTGACGCGAGCGTTGCTGCGCCGCGACGGACATCGCCGGGGAATTCGAGCGCGGGATGGTAAGTGGCGATCTAGGACTGACAGTTGGCCTCCGAGCATTGTTTTAGAGGGATCTGGAGAGCATTGTTTTAGTTTTGCTGGGAGCTGGTAGATAGGTTCAAAGGTGTGGTGTTGGTGGATTTATGAACGAGTTGAAATGATTTGGGAATGAAGTGTATTGGGGAGAGTGAGGAAGGGGGTAAAGGAATATAGGCGTAATAGAATGAAATTGAAAATTTTAAGTAGTTAGAATATTTGGAAGTTGAAAGTTTTGGGTATTTAGGGGTTGTTTGGGGGTAGAAAAGTATTAATAGACGTGAGTTTGAAGGAATAGAGTATAGGAAGTGTGAGAGAGAAAATGTTAGTGGTAGTTCAGAGATAGAGAAGTATTAATAGATGCGAGTTTATAAGAATAGAGTATAGGAAATGTGAGAAAGAGAAAAATTGGGTTCTCAAACCACCTCAAACAACTTGCAACACTAAAAATATATTCAGAACGAATACAACATTGGCAAGCATTTTATAATTGCAACCCCCTGTGTTCTATTATTATCTACATCAAATAATAATTCGCATAGGTAATCCTCAAACCAACTCAAACAATTTTCAACGTTGTACAAAAGGATAAAAATATATTCAGAACGAATGCAATAACGAACATTACATACATAACGAACACTACATTTAGTAAGAAAATGTGAAGGGGTAGGAAACACAGAAATCTAATTAAAGACAATTTTATTCGAAAAAGGAGTTAAGTAGATGAAAATGATTCTAGAGAAGTCATCATACCAGATGACTCCCTTAAGTGTATCGTATGAATAAGAGGCGTTAACCCTTAACATATCGCGATGATAATAAAATTAAGAGATCGCTACCTACTATGTCTGAATAATGCCACAATAACAATACACGATTCTCTAAAATAACTCTAAAAAATCTTCCTCCGCATTTTTCCCCATCAATCCTCCACGAAACGCACTAACAACTCGTCAAAAGGTGGTATTAATTGGAAATGGAGCTTACTTTTGATCGTTAAATTGTACGTGTTCACAGCGCCGCGGTCTTGGAACCGTAATAGTCGTAATGCTCTCGAGCTTAACGAAAACACGAGGCTACGCGGAATACTGATTCGCCCGGTCGTTGCATAATTCATCGATACGTACAAAAGCAAAGACTCTTAAGCTCTGTCACTTCGATGATGGAAGCAACGGGCTACAATGGGCGAACACGGACGAGCGATAATACAGACGCTCTCGCTAGGATTCCGAGGGATCGGATAAATACGCTAATAAAATGCAACGGGATGCGCGGACGGATTAGAATTGCTCGGGATCGTACACTCCGCGACCTATAATAACATGAATGATAGCCGAAGGGTGGCCCTTACTGGATGTAATAACTCTGGTTAGGCGAGTTGATCCGCCTACGATTCGTTGTACCCGAGATATATATCCCACAGTCAATAGAATCCACGAATAACTTCATCCCTGCGTCCCCAAATATTCTCTTCCTTAATTTTTTATGCTATACATATTTCCAAATTGACACTAAACGTACAAGCATTTTGCATACAGTTAATATATTCGTATCGTCTGTGACTATTGAAGATATTTTATTAAGTTAAATGATAGATTTGATGTTAAGGAAATTTAGTATAATAAATATGCACGGAAGTAAATTTTACATGAGTATGTATCTATGATGAAAAGTTTATTTGGGAATGTTAAATTTGTTGTTTAATTTAGGGAAACTTCTTTGATAAACAGAGAGGGGACGATTCTATTATAATTATAATTATATTTATACCAATACATTATGTATGTTGTTATAATTATAATTATAATTATAATTATAAACGTTAAACGACCCCTTACAGTAAGATATACACAGTCAGTCCTATAAATTATAATATATTCTATAATTGTAATCATAATTATAATTATACCAATACATTATTCAACATTACATGTTGAATGGCAAATAATTAGACAACTAATATAATAAACATATGGTAAACATAACCAAAAGGTGTGAACACTTATGCAAAATAAAATGAGAATATTATTATATTAATAGAAGAATATATTCAACATACGTATGTCAAATGGCAGATAATTAAGCAACTAATATAATAAACATATAGTAAATATAACCAAAAGGTATGAACACTTATAGAAAATGAAATAATAATATTATTATATTAATATTTTATTAAAATTATTAGAAGAATGAATTCAACATACATCATGTATATTTTACGTATATTTTCAATACCATTCCACATCATAAACACTCCATATATTTATTATTTACGTTCACGTAT